ACTGCTTCTTTACTTTGTTGTTATTAAGAAGCTGACATGTTTGTATAGTTCATTTACTGCTTCTTTACTTTGTTGTTATTAAGAAGCTGACATGTTTGTATAGTTCATTTCCTGGAATCACAAACATCTGATTTGTTTTGCTATTATTTTTAGTGGATTAAACAGATCACTTATTCTGTGTAATCTAAGATATTATAGAAAATGTTTAATGTACATTTCACTCTAAATAAATTACTTTGGCTTGACTTAGCCGTAATGGGATGATAGCTGCTGTGTATGGTAACATACAGTAGTGAATTTATCTTGTTCAATTGTTCTAAAGATCAATGTGACATGTCCAGTGCTTGTAGAAACTGAGAATGTCATTCTCAACTAGTTTTTATATCATAACTTTATGTTTGTGATTAGTAAAATGGCTGTTGGTGAGAATTATAATCGTATGTACAGTTTTTGTTTGATTTACCCCCTCCCAACCCCGAAATCAGAGATAAATAATGTTGTGAAGTGTGTTATTATTAATGTTGTGAAGTGTGTTATTATTAATGTTGTGAAGTGTGTTATTATTAATGTTGTGAAGTGTGTTATTATTAATGTTGAGAAGTGTGTAATTACCAACATTATGAAGTGTGTAATTATTAACATTGTGAAGTGTGTAATTACCAACATCCTGAAGTGTGTAATTATTAACATCGTGTGTTAATAATTACACACTTCACAACATTAATAATAGCACACTTCACAACATTAATAATAACACACTTCACAACATTAATAATTACACACTTCACAACATTAATAATAACACACTTCACAACATTAATAATAACACACTTCACAACATTAATAATAACACACTTCTCAACATTAATAATAACACACTTCACAACATTAATAATAACACACTTCACAACATTAATAATAACACACTTCACAACATTAATTATAACACACTTTCCTGAAGTGTGTAATTACTAACGTTGAGAAGTGTGTTAGTATTAATGTTGAGAAGTGTGTAATTACCAACATTGTGAAGTGTGTAATTATTAACATCCTGAAGTGTGTAATTATTAACATCCTGAAGTGTGTAATTATTAGGTATTTTTTAACAATTTTCATTGAATATCTTTCGTTAAGTATGATAAAATATTTATATCAAACAGCATCAATAGATTATATTTAAGATGAAATATTAGAATCAAACAATAAGTAATAATTGGGATTAAAATATATGTTATTTTATGACTGTATCAGTGTGTAGTCACAGTAATTTTTACTTGCCTGATGTTAAAACTTTAGAAGGAGTAGATGGATAGGGAAACAGATATTAAAAATTACCTTCTCACTATCACTAACCAATTGTAGCATTGCTTCATGAGAACCATTGTTTTCTTAGGAAGAGACTAGTGTCTTTATCATTCAAGAATTTTTACAATCTTAACAAGTCTTAATGGATTTGGTTTTCAAAGCTTTAAAAGAAAGTTTTAATAGAGTAAATATTGATTTTCATTTATTGAAAGTGTATTTTTCCTACACAGGTTCTTTGCACTTGAGCTCGGATCTAGAAAATATGAACTTGATTGGTTTGTACTTATTTTTTGTTGTATCTTGTTATTCCTAACATACAAAGTCCACAAATTAGTACGGTTAAAATGTGTTTTTCAGGCTTATGTTAATGCAGGTGCTATCATTCAGGAAGATATTAGTGAAGCTCCTGTTATATTTGGAGTGAAGCAAGTTCCTGTCGATGCATTACAACCTAATAAAACGTACGTGTTCTTCTCCCATACAATCAAAGCCCAAGAAGCTAACATGCCTTTACTGGAAGCGATCCTAGAACGAGTAAGTGCACTTATGTCGTGAACAAACTTTTATTTTACGTACCATTAATCCAAAGGTAGAAATATTATGTACAGTCTTGTATCTTGCCGTACGTGTGTTGTGTGTATATGTTGGTAAAAACACAAACTTCAGTCTAGGCTTAATTTTGTAAGATTGGAAAACAGATCAGAAGCACCGTAATCAGTGTAAACAATTTGTATAGAGGATTTAATGGGTTATTCTTTTCAGTACTTTAATCAGTGTAAACAATTTGTATAGAGGATTTAATGGGTTATTCTTTTAGTACTTTAATCAGTGTAAACAATTTGTACAGAGGATTTAATGGGTTATTCTTTTCAAGTACTTTAATCAGTGTAAACAATTTGTACAGAGGATTTAATGGGTTATTTTTTCAGTACTTTAATCAGTGTAAACAATTTGTACAGAGGATTTAATGGGTTATTTTTTCAGTACTTTAATCAGTGTAAACAATTTGTACAGAGGATTGTTATCTAAAATAGCTAAAAAAAGATGGAGAATCATAATATATGTTTGAAATTAAAGTTTGTGACAAAGAACTAAAATAAGATAATCCTCATACTTATAACTTAATGATAAAATAAAGAATCTGTAATGATATCTAAATGAAAAATTGACATTTTTAACATATGATAAATTGTTTCTTTCAATTATAGAATATCAGGCTTATTGATTATGAGAAAATGGTTGACAGTGATGGACAGAGAGTTGTAGCTTTTGGAAAATATGCTGGCGTAGCAGGAATGATAAATATCCTCCATGGACTAGGGTTGAGACTGTTAGTCCTAGGGCATCATACCCCTTTCATGGTAAGAGTAGTGTTCATTTCTGTTTCTGAGGAAACATTTAAGTTTTTTCATTTATATATATATATTTTTTTGTTACTGAAGAGCTTCTTTAATATCTTCTGGTACTAATTAACAGAGCCCCAAGTTCAACTGAGAAGATATTACAGACACTACAAAAAATCTAGTAATACTGACATGGCATTGACTGGAAAGTCAGAATTTTATCATGCAGCCAATCACTGAATAAGAAACAATTATACGAAAAATGGCATGGCCACACTACAGAGTTAAACCTGGGGCTCTGTTAATTTGTGCCAAAATATATTAAAGACACTATACAGTTAAACTTGGGGCTCTGTTAATTATTACCAGAAGATATTAAAGACACTACAGAGTTAAACTTGGGGCCCTGTTAATTAGTACCCCTCTGATATCATGTGTACTTGCGTTATATCTACAAAACATGTGAAACATCAACAGTGGGCACCTCTGATATCATGTGTACTTGCGTTATATCTACAAAACATGTTCAACACCAACAATAACTGACAGACAATATTCGTAGCCCCAGTTTTCACATGACAAAAAGAGGAAACAATTTTGCACCATTAAATTAAATTAAATATAATTAAATTAATTATATAATTACTGATTATACAGCAATTATGTAGAGAAAATAAATTATGCAGCAAAATGTAAAATTAAAAACATTTTAAGATGATAAACAATTACTGGAATTTACTATCTACAGCAACTCAACACTAATTTTTTATGTAGTTGCATCAAAAAACACCTTTAGAAGTACAATAAATCAAACAGCTTGGCCAGCAGACCCCACTTTCCAAGTAGCAAACTAAATTATGCCCACTGTTGATGTTTCACATGTTTTGTAGATATAACACAAGTTCACTGTTGATGTTTCACATGTTTTGTAGATATAACACAAGTTCACATGATATCAGAGATGCTCACTGTTAGGTTTGGTGTAAGCCTTGGAAATAAGAAATGTGACATATTCATTCCACCTTAATCTGTGTTGATAAACAGAAATCAATTTGCATATTTCTTCATGTGGTTGGCAGTTAAGTATAGTAAAGTTCTAAAAATACATAACTTTTTTAAGCCTCAATGTTGTACAAATAGATCACCATGAGTCAGGGATTTAAGAATCTTTAAAAGCATATACTGAGGTATGTACATAATGTGAGTGATAACTAAAAAAGACTGGAAGAGAAGACGTTGTTTTAATGTACATCTTTTATTATTAAGTAGTTTGCAAAAATATACATTACCCTTGTAAGAGTTATTATTTGTATTATAAATGTACAATTTTCAGATCCATTGATTACATCTATCTGTATTGAGTCAACCATGACTACTGAATACTATCTTTGAATGTTAAAACATGAATTTTTCAACAGTTCTGGACCAACTATTAAATTCTGTTTTTTTTATTATTTAGTTTCATTATTATTTTTTTTTACTAATCTCTTAATGTGATGTATTATTGTCATTAAAGTCTCGTGTATGTGTGAGAATACATTAAATTCTTATGTGATTTTCCCGAGTCCTAATTTCCCCTGTGTTTGGAACAAGTTTCAGGAAGTTTTAATACCTTAACAAAAACTTTAATTTGAAAAGGGGAAAAAAAAAAACATTTAAGAGTTCATTTTTTAGGCCTGATATCTTACTTAAAAACAAAACAGAAGGCTAGTGTTGAAGAACAGTAAAAGGATGTGTTAAGTTTACCTGGATTAGCATAAGATAGAACTGATATACTAATGAGACAAGTTCTGGATTTCTTAACACAGTATTTATTATTCAAGCTCATGAGGTATTAATCAGATGAGTTCTGGATCTTACCAGCACATAGGACCTGCTCATAATTATCGAAGTAGTGGAATGGCTCGGCAGTCTGTAAGAGATGCAGGATATGAAATAGCACTAGGAATGATGCCACGATCCGTTGGTCCATTGACTTTTGTTTTCACAGGATCTGGAAATGTTTCTCAGGCAAGTGACTATCTTTATACATGTAATGTGTTAGATAATTATAAATATATTTATACATGAAATGTGTCAGATAATGATAAATGACTTTATACATTAATGTGTTAGATAATGATAAATATCTTTATACATGAAATGTGTCAGATAATGATAAATATCTTTATACATGAAATGTATTAGATAATTATAAATATATTTATACATGTAATGTGTTAGATAATTATAAATATATTTATACATGTAATGTGTTAGATAATTATAAATATATTTATACATGAAATGTGTCAGATAATGATAAATGACTATACATTAATGTGTTAGATAATGATAAATATCTTTATACATGAAATGTGTCAGATAATGATAAATATCTTTATACATGAAATGTGTCAGATAATGATAAATATCTTTATATGTGAAATGTGTCAGATAATTATAAATATCTTTATACATGTATGTGTTAGATAATTATAAATATCTTTATACATGTAATGTGTCAGATAATTATAAATATCTTTATACATGTAATGTGTCAGATAATTATAAATATTTTTATACATGTAATGTGTCAGATAATTATAAATATCTTTATACATGTAATGTGTCAGATAATTATAAATATCTTTATACATGTAATGTGTCAGATAATTATAAATATCTTTATACATGTAATGTGTCAGATAATTATAAATATCTTTATACATGTAATGTGTCAGATAATTATAAATATCTTTATACATGTAATGTGTTAGATGATTATAAATATTTATTATAATGTCTAAATAATGATCTCTTTCAGACAGTAGTTTGTGTTTATCTACATGGGATGGGAATAATATATTTAAAAACGACTGATACCTAGATAAAGGTGTATGGTACGGGTTAAAGCTAGATGTATAGAAGAACAGTTGTGTTCAGACGTTTTGGGTCATTATTTTGATTTTCTTTCTTTTGTATTTACTCAAACAGAGAGATAGCCACTTCATTTTATACCCATTAGTAAAAATGGAAAACCTAAATAAATCGAACACAACATTTTTGAAGTGAAATATTTCTGTTTTATGTTATGTGTTCACTGTATCTAACATAAAATGTAATTATTTTTTTATTCTGTGAGTTATACATCTCATCAAAGTAGACATACACAAGTCTTTCTCTGTACTGGAAACACACAGATAATACACAAAAGGGGAGTTACCAACTATGAATCACTGCAAGTTAATGATAAGGCTCTGTGGTAAGTCTGAGGGCTTATAATACTCAACCTTTTGTATGGTGTAGCCCACACCAGCCTAAACTTTAATCTCCACACAATTTCATGTGGGATTTCTGTCCTGGGAGTTACAAATGCATTAATCACACTACTGCTGGGAATTGTATGAAGTAGGCCATCTTAGTTTAGAATTAAAAGGTTGATTTTATCTTACTTCTGAAAAGTTGTTTTTATTTTCTTGATTACTTTCATGAATTTTCATGTTCATGTCTGGTATATTTTATTATTTTGGGATACAAGTTTTGAAGGACACTTTTTTTTACCTTAGGGCGCTCAAGAAGTATTTCAAGAACTGCCTTATGAATATGTGGAGCCTGAAGATCTTCCACAAGTTTCTGAACACGGATGTAAGTTTAATATTAGAGGACTTGTTTTGTAAGAACAACCCAGTTAGTTTTGTATCCTTATGAATATGTGGAGCCTGAAGATCTTCCACAAGTTTCTGAACACGGATGTAAGTTTAATATTAGAGGACTTGTTTTGTAAGAACAACCCAGTTAGTTTTGTATTTCTTTTTATACTTAATTGGGTCCGTTATTAAGACCATAGCTGGGTCCATTTTTAAGATAGTAGCTGGGTCCATTATTAAGATAGTAGCTGGGTCCGTTATTAAGGTAGTAGCTGGGTCCATTATTAAGGTAGTAGTTGGGTCCGTTATTAAGGTAGTAGCTGGGTCCATTATTAAGACAAAAACTAGGTCCATCATTAAGATAGTAGCTGGGACCATTATTAAGATAGTAGCTGGGACCATTATTAAAATAGTAGCTGGGACCATTACTAAAATAGTAGCTGGGTTCATTATTAAGGTAGTAGTTGGGTCCGTTATTAAGGTAGTAGTTGGGTCCGTTATTAATATAGCTGGGTCCATTATTAAGATAGTAGCTGGGACCATTATTAAAATAGTAGCTGGGTCCGTTATTAAGGTAGTAGCTG